TATCGGACAGAGGTGTAATAAGCACCAAAGAATATAGGGAAGGATTCCAGCAGTTAAATACCACTATGTGGAGCGGTGGTGGTTAGTGCCCTTAGAATTCGGAAGTTACTGTTGAGTAGGTCTAAATGTGCAGCTATCGTTATGGAGTTCTTTGACAATGAGCAGTTGTTTTGAATAAAAGAGGTCATCTGAGAATATAGTGTTGCTTTAATAAGAAGCGGAACTTGCTTTAATGAGTTGTTTGGGATTGTTTTCACAGAATAACTGAATAGAAAAAAAACATCTGAGATCCTGTGTCTTGTTCTGACTCATGATGTAAATTGAATTAACCCTTATAATTGTACAGCCAGGAGCAAGATGAAGTTACTTTGGAATTCCTCCGTGACTGTTAGTATATAAAACAATCTGAGCTACAGGAACCATCCTGGTTCTTTTTGGAAGCAGGTGGGAATTCAAGTTACATGACTAAGTGATACAAAGTATCCAGAAACTAACATCAGCGTGCAGGTAATGATTTCATTTATCTTGAAAGTATTGCATTTTGTAGAGGTTGGTAGTATTAAAACAGCATCATTCTGGAAATTGGCAGACCTCTAATGAAAAGGCCTCCTTAGAGGATAACTAAGAGGTCAGTTCTTTTGACAACAATCTTGTCTGCACAGCCATCTTGAATTTGAAGGAGGAGCTACTCTCTGTGTGCCAGTCTCCATGAGGTTAGGATGGGGCGGAAGCTAGTGAAGACTCTGCCATGGTATTTGTCTGAACATTTTTTCCTCTGAGAATTTCTTTAAAAACTATTTTGGGGCCGGCTCCGTGGCTTAGCGGTTAAGTGCGCTCGCTCTGATGCTGGCGGCCCGGGTTCGGATCCCGGGCGCGCCCTGAGGCACCGCTTCTCCGTCCGGCGCGAGGCCGAGTCCCACGTGCGGCAGCTAGAAGGATGTGAACCTATGACATGCAGCTGTCTACTGGGGCTTTGGGGGGAAAAAATGAATAAATAAAATCTAAAAAAAAAAAAAAAAAAAAAAAAAATAACTATTTTGGATTTTTTTTAAGGGTGAATTTATGCAAATACTACATCTTAAATCTCAGGATATTTAGCAATTTTTATTAAAATATTCTCCCTCTTGATAACTCTCCCTCTTTTTCCTAAGTAAAAATATTAACACACACACACACACTTTTCTGTATCAGATTATGCAGTACAGTTCTGCTCCTGTGAAGCCTTACTGTCTTTTCCTTGGAAATATGAATTAGATTCATCACAGATAGGGCCAGATCAATAGATGTTTCCTTATGTGCATTTGAGATTTTTTTTTTAATACCACGGAAGACTTAACTGTTGCTGCGTAATGATAGCACACTTTCTACTGAGAGGCAAAATGTAACTTTATAAGAAAGTATCATGAAATAGAAAGATTGAAGGATGAATTTAAATCTTTTGAAATAATTACTAACAGTATAACAAAGCTTTCCTTAGTTGTATAGTACATACAGGAAGCCTGGGTAGAGGGTAGGTTTCTGTTCCCACTAGGGCACAGTATTTAGTGTTTTCAAGTGCCCTGCTATTCATGTGGCATTTAAATACCTTGGCTGTGTCTAGTACAGATAGTACACATGGGATTCAATTTAATCCCTAAGTTAAGACCACAGCCCAGTGTTTTTAGCTGTTCTTGTGAACTGTTAGGAACTTCTTTTGAATTTTTGATGTTTGAAAACCAAGATTGGGAGACCCTTTTGGATCCTTAAGCACTTGAACATTTACTGTGCATGTGGTGCCAAAGGTAGAAGAAAGAGTTTACCCCAGATGGCTTCAGTGGTGAATTCTGTCAGACATGTAACGGAGAAATAATGCTGATCGCACATAAAATCTTCCAGAAAATTGAGGAAGAACAGATACTTCCCAGCTCATTTTATGAGGCCATCGTTACCCTGATAGCAAAGCCAGACACAGATATTAGAAGAAAAGAAAAACAGACCAATATTCCTCATGAACATAGATGAAAAATTCTAAGCAACATTTTAGAAAATTGAATCCAACAATACATAAAAAGGATAATATACCATGACCATTTGGGAATAAACTAAAAAAGGAAAACCATATGATTATCTCAGTAGACTAAAAAAGCATTTGACAAAATTCAATTTCTATTCCTGATAAAAACTTTAAGCAAACGAGGACTAGACGGGAACTTCCTTATCTGATAAGAGATATCTATGAAGAACCCACAGCTAACATCACACTTAATGCTGAAAGACTGATTGCCTAAGAACAGGAACGAGATGAGGATGTCTGCTCCCCCTGCTTCTATTCAACATTGTACTGGAGGTTCTGAATAGTGCAATTAAAGAAAGAAAGAAAGAAAGAAAAAGAATCCAGTATGGAAAGGAAGAAGTAAAGCAGTTCTAATTTGCAAGTGGCATGATTATTTATGTAGAAAAATCTGATGAAATATACAAAAATGCTGTTAGGACCGATAGATCAGTTTAGCAAGGTTGCAGGATACAAAATCAGTATACAAAAATCAGTTGTATTTGTATACCAACAATGAACAATGGGAAATTGAAATGAAAAATAAAACCAAATAGCATCAAATTAAGTGAAAACTTATGGATAAATCTAAGATGTTCAAAACTTGTACTCTTAAAAATACAAAACACTGCTGAGAGAAGTTAAAGGAGACCTAAATGAATGAAGAAAGGTACTGTGTTCAGGTCAAAAGACTCAGTATTGTTAAGGTATCAGTTCTCCCCAAATTGGTCTATAGAATTGACACCATCTCAGTCAAAATGTGAGCAGGGTTTTTGTAGAAATTGACAGGCTGATTCTAAAATTCATGTGGAAATGTGAAGAACCTAGAATAACCAAAACAACTTGGAAAAAGAACAAAGTAGGAGCTCTAAGACTACCTGAATTCAAGGTTTATTATAAAGCTAAAGCGATCATGATTATGTGGTATTGGGATAAAGATAGAAAAACAGATCAGTGGAACAGAACAGAGAGTCCGAAAATAGACCCACATATATCTGGAATATTGATTTTCAGCAAAGGTGCAAAAGCAATTTGATGGAGAAAGGATAGTCTTTTCAACAAATGGTGTTGGAATAATTGGATGTTCATGTGCAAAATAATGAATTTTGAGTCCTATCTCATATCATATACAAAAATCAACTAGAAATGAATCATGTACCTACATGTAAAACCTAAAGCTATAAAACTTCAAAGGAAAACAGGAGAAAATCTTTGTGACCTTGGTTTAGGCAAAGATTTCTTAAATATGACACCAAGAGTGCAATTCATAAGGGAAAAAAATGTTAAATTGGACTTTATCAAAATTAAAAACTGCTCGGGGCCGGCCCCGTGGCTTAGCGGTTGAGTGCGCGTACTCCGCTACTGGCGGCCCGGGTTTGGATCCCGGGCGCGCACTGACGCACCGCTTGTCCGGCCATGCTGAGGTGGCGTCCCGCATACAGCAACTAGAAGGATGTGCAGCTATGATATACAACTATCTACTGGGGTTTTGGGGAGAAAAAGGGGGAAAAAAAGGAGGATTGGCAATAGATGTTAGCTCAGGGCCGGTCTTCCTCAGCAAAAAGAGGAGGGTTGGCATGGATGTTAGCTCAGGGCTGATCTTCCTCACAAAAAAAGAAAAGAAAAGAAAAACTGCTCTTTAGAAGACATTATTAAGAGAGTGACAAGAGAAGGCACAGATTGGGAGAAAATATTTGTAAAGCATATATGTGATAAAGAACTTATATTTAGAACATATAAAAAGAGTTCTTGAGATCTAACAGCCCATAAAAATTAACAAAAGAGAAACAGATCCTTTACCAAAGAATATATATGAATTGCAAATAAGCACATAAAAAAATGTTCAACACCATTTATCACGAGGGAAAGTCAAATTGAAACCACAATGAAGTACCATTGTACTTCTTTAGAATGGGTAACACTGAAATGACTGAGCACAAGTGTTGGTGAAAATGTGGGGCGACTAGAACTCTCATGCACTGTTCATGGGAATGTAGGATGGTGTCACCACTTCGGAAGACAGTTTTGTCGTTTTTTAAGGGGTTAAATATATGCCTACCATGTGACCTAGCCATTCTACTCTTAGGTGTTTACCCAGAGAAAAGAAAGCATATGTTCATACAGAGGTTTGTACATAAATGTTCACGGCCGGTTTTGTAATAGCTTAAAACTGGAAACAACCCAAAAGTCCACAAGTAAATGGATGAACTGTGATAGACCCATAAAATGAGATACTACTCAGCAGTGTAAAAGGGATGACCTGTTGATGTACAGTATAACATGGATGAAACTCCAAAACATTATGCTGAGTGAAAGAAGGCCAAAAAAAGACTACATATTCTAATTCTACTTATGAAATTCTAGAAAAGGTAAAACTGTGGTAACAGAAGGCGGATCAGTGGTTGCCTGGTGCTGGAAGGAGAAACTACAGAGGGGCACAAGGACATGTTTGGCAGTGATAGATATGCCTTGTCTTGGTTGTGCTAGTGGTTGTACAGGTGTATACATACATCAGAGCTTATGAACTTGTACAGTTTACATATGTACAGTTTGTTGTGTCTCAGTTACACCACAGTATAACTGTATCTCAATAAAGCTGTTAGAAAATGGATGCTTAATACTTTGGGCGTATTTACTGCGCTTTGTCTCATATGGCTGGTTCTCACTTTTAAGGAGGTAGATAGGTAGAAGGAGCAATTACAAGTGAGGAAACAGGCTTAGAGGAAGTTGGTTAGCTTACTCCCGCCCACCCAGCTGACCAGTGCAGGCCAGGGCCATTGTCACCTGCTGCCAGAGGGTCGACAGATCTCCACGTGGGTGTCCTGGATTCTAACACTGAGGTCATTTTATTCTCTTTTGTCACTATTCCTTTGAGAAGCTATGTTTTATTTATGTTCTGATGTTTCTCCCATAGCTGTTAACAGAAAACAGGTGGTATGCGGTTTCTGACCTGTCTGATGCTCTCCCTCAGGGCACAGTCGTTCGCCGAGCGCCTGCGACTGGGAATTGCGGTGATTCACGGAGAAGCGCAGGACGCCGAGTCCGACTTGGTGGATGGCCGGCATTCCCCACCCATGGTCAGGAATGTCGCTGCCATCCACCCCAGCCTGGAGATCCCCAGTAAGTGTACTGGCCCCTCTCTCTCTCAATTTCCTCTTTGATTTTAAGGCTGGGTTAATTTTTTTTCAAATGTGAATTACATCTTCTCTTTCCGTGTTTTAAGTTGGCAAAACAGGTAATACCTTTCCTGGCCTGGTTGTAACAAATGCACTTCTGATGGCCATGTGGATTGTAGAGCCTCCTAGAAGATCATAGCAAGACCTGTGAAAATGTTCAAACTATTTAGCCTCAGATCTGGTACCTCAGGGCACTGCATTCATTCACTCAGGAACATATCCTAGAGTATAGTTTAACATGCGCAGAAAAGCTTTCTGTGCACAGGGTTATTCACTGTAGTGTTATTTTTAATGCAAAATATTGGAAAAGTCTAAATGGTTTACCAGAGGGTAGAGCTTGATCAACTATGTTGTATCAATACAACTAATTATTCAGCCCTTTGAAATAATTAAGACTATTTGGAAACGAGAAAATCTGTGGAATGTATCTGAATAGGCAGAATACAAGAGTTTATACCTATCTTTGTGCAAGGACCAGGAGGGAAGAGGAAGAATAAAAATAGTTGTGATGGGGTAGTAGAATTATGCATGGATTTATTTTTGTTTTTAAGAAACTTTAATAACATCTTTAAAAATATTGCCTTTATTTGAGTCTGTTGGAGAGGAAAAACTTTTCCTCTGTCCTCTGTAGGTTTAGTGCTTAGAGGCCTGCAAATGAAACTGACAAAAGACAGATTAGCAAGAGAAAGACAGATTTTGAGAGTTTAGAATTTTGGGCTTGTATATCATCTTAATAGGGCAAGGGACAGGGGAGAAGGGAACTTACAGAAAACAAATGACCTCTTAATAGAGGAAGTGGGGAGGAGGGAATGGGCACTTATGGGAAAACAAATGACTTTTAGGAAAGATAAATGGGACCCTTAGGAGAATAAATGGGAGATGTGTTAGTTTTGTGACAATGTCTGTTTATATGTGGTGCCAACTTCTAGTCTAGGTGATAAGAGCCAGTCTTCCCTGGTTGTTCCTAGGAGGGGATTTATGGCAATGGAATTCTTTTGGGAGGCTCTGCTTTTAAGCAAATCAAGGATGTCAGGAACTCAGATGCCTTTTGCTCAAAATAGTTTTTATGCCACTGTGGCGTATTCTGGACCCCTTAATGTTCTTGCTTTGCCTAGGAGTTTGCTCATCTGTAAATAGAGAAAACTTCAGAGAGGGAGATAGTGTACTGGGATAGCCGTGAAGGAGCTGAGATTGCAGTGAGCCATGTGGATCTTGGTTAGCTGAGGTGGGGATAGAAGGCGTCCAGGCAGGGGTTAAGTCAGGGTGCCGGGACAGCCTGGAGGGCAGGAGGACAGGCTCTGGAGGCCAGGGCTGGGGTGTGTGTCTGGCCTGGTGTGGCCAGGAAGGGCACCACCCTGACTTGTGGAAGGTCCTTGGAGGGAAGAGATAGGGATAAGGTGCAATATTCTGCTGGAGCAGACGGGGAGATTTTGAGTGCTAGTTAATATGCTTGCCTTATGAAAGGCAGTTGTCAAAGGTTCTGGAGCTGGGGGCAGTTAGGGCGGGCTGGGTGTCTTCAGAAGTCCAGGCCTCCGTCAGTGTTGGGGTAGGTTGCAGGGAAGAGGGGCAAGACATAGGGTGGCCAGATGTGGGAGGCTGGTGGAGGTAAGCAGCTGCACCGTGGAGGGCTTTGCTCTTGGGCTGCACTGTCCACACAGTGGCCGCCGGCGACGTGTGGCTCCTACCCACTGGAGTGAGGTGAGTGGGAGTTGAGGCGTGCTGGGACTGTAAGGACATGCACTTGATGTGAAAACCATAACGTGAAAGATCTCATTTATCAATTTTTTATTGATTACATGTTAAAATGATATTTTGGATAGATTGGATTAAATAAAATAAATAATTAAAATTAATTTCACCTGTTTCTTTGTGCTGTGGTAACGTGGCTACTAGAAAATTGAAAGTTACATGCGTGACTTACATTTTGGCTCAGTGTGCGCCGCTGCTGTTGGGGAGTGGCGGTGGGCTTGCCCAGCTCAGAAGCCTGTGGTCTTCCTGTTCCTCTCTTGACTCTCTCCCTCTCCAGCTGGCGGCTTAACGAGGAGGGAGGGCTGGGGGTGGAGCCAGTTCAGGATTTGTGCGTGAAGCTTTCCACTCAGGGCTGGGGGCCTGCGATTGTGTGTGCACTTGTCCCTGCCTCGTGCTCCAAGGCTGCCGGGCGCTCAGGCCTGTGGCCGGCCCTTTGTTTCAGAGCCCGTGCCGCGCAGTGAGGGGCTCGTGTCAGGACCCTCAGCGGGCTGTTGGGATGCGCCCTTTCCCTGAGCGTGGAGGAGGCGCGTTCCCATTTGGAGGTTGTGCAAGCACATGGGCTGAGTTCAGGAACATGTTAGCAACCTTTAGGTGAGCCAGCTCCTTTGTGTCTTCTGGGCGGTGGCTTTACGTGGGTGCTAGCTAGTCGTTTCTGGGCTGCAGGAACAGAGCTCCGTGTTCCCATCTGAAGATATGGGGATGGACTGTAATCTGCGTGCTCTCCCACATTCCATTATCTACTTATCTGGCCTTATGTTTCATTCACGATTTTACCTTTTTTTTTTTTTTTTTGTGAGGAGGATCGGCCCTGAGCTAACATCTGCCAATCCTCTTTTTGCTGAGGAAGACTGGCCCTGGGCTAACATCCATGCCCATCTTCCTCCACTTTATATGGGAGGCCGTCATAGCATGGCTTGACAAGCGGTGCGTCAGTGCGCACTCGGGATCCGAACTGGCGAACCCTGGGCCTCCGCAGCAGAGCGCGTGCACTTAACTGCTTGCGCCACCGGGCTGGCCCCACGATTTCACTTTTAATTATAATGTTTCTGTGTTTATATTTTGACTCAAGTAATGTTTACTAGAGGACTTGTGAGGGAGTATACCAGAATTTTAGTTTCACAGATCCTGAATATTAAATGTTTTTGCACATTTGATGGCTTGACAACCTATATATAATGCTTAAGTTATAGCAAATAGGTATATGAAGGGAAAAGAAAGCATTTGTCCTATCGCATCTCAGATACGTATTTTTTGTGTGTGTGTGTGAGGAAGATTAGCCCTGAGCTAACATCCGTGGCCATCTTCCTCTACTTTATATGGGATGCTGCCACAGCATGGCTTCACGAGCGGTGCATTGGTGCACGCCCAGGATCCAAACCTGCAAACCCTGGGCCACCGCAGCGGATCATGCACACTTAACCGCTGCGCCACTGGGTGGCCCCTCAGCTATGTATTTTGAGGTTTTGACTATATCAAAAAGATTTTGATATTTAGCGTTAGACTTAAGAAATTATTTTGTATCTTCTGGTTTTTTATAGATGAAAAATGTCAGCTAAAAAAGAAAATAATAAAAAATACTTTTTCAGAATATAAACCTAATATATAATTATTTAAAATATTATAATGCATAAAATTTAGAAGAAAGTAATAATCAGTGCTTAATTCCACTGTTCAGAGACATACGTACCACTTTTATATATTGGTGGGCCTCCTTCCATCTCATCCTTTCTGATTTTCATAGACCTGTGAGCTGTACTGATTACATAATTGTGCACATTGCCGTCTTTGTCCAGCTGTGTAATATATCTTTTCCCAAGTCATTAAAAACTTTCATAAACGGCATTTTGAATGGCTCTGTAACATCCCATCTTATGGATGTGGCTTAGACCACCCAGCTGGAGTCTGACTGGGTATTTATGTTTTCTCCTGTTCTTTGCCAATATAATATTGCAGCAAACATATGTGGGTAAAAAACTCTTTCCATACTTTGGCTTATTTCATTGTAAGTTTCTAAAAGTGAGATTAGTGAGTCGAAAGGTATGACTGTTTATATGGCTCCTTGTCAAATTGATTTCCTAAAGGGCTACACCATCATACTCTTTCCCCAGCACAGGGACGGGGGTCAAGTGCCTGGGAAAAGGAGTGTTGCAAATGTAAAAAATTACTTCAGTTCTGGCATTTATCTTGCTTTGTTTGGTTTTACATTTCTGTCCCCTCCCCCCACACCAACCTAGGTTCACATACTGCATTTGATTGTCATCTGTCTCTAGTCTCTTAATCTAAAGCAGTGGTTCTCAGCTAGGGGCGGGGGGCGGGGGGATATTGTCCCTTGGAGGACCTTTGGAAATGTCGGGAGACATGTTTTGATTGTGACAATGGAGGGGGGTGCTACTGGCATCTGGTGAGCAGAGGTCAAGGATGCTGCTAAACGTCCTGCAACACACAGGACAGCCCCCCAACACAGAATGATATGGCCACAGTGTCGGTGGTGCTGAGGTTGAGAATCCCTGATCTAGAGCAGTCCCTCTACTTTTTTTCTTTACGTGGCATTGACTTTTTCTAATAAATTGAAGTGAAAGTCACATAACATAGAATTAACCATTTTGAAGTGTACGGTTCACTGGCATTTTGTACGTTCACAGTGTTGCACAACTACCATTTCTTTCTGGTTTCACACTTTTCATCACCTCAGAAGAACACTCCTACCCACTAAATAATCACTCCTCATGCCCCCTTCCCCTATCCCCTGGCAACCACTAATTTGCTTTCTGTCCCTATGAATTTGCCTATTCTGGACATTTCATATAAGTGGAATCATACAATGTGTGATCTTTTGTGTCTGGTTTCTTTCACTTAGCATAATGTCTTTGAAGTTCATCCAAGTTGTTGCATGTACCAGTTCTTCATTCTTTTTGATGGCTGAATAATATTCCACTGTATGTATATGTCATAATTTGTTTATCCATTCATCCATTGAGGGACACTTGAGTTGTTTCTTCCTTTTGGCTGTAATGCTATATGCATTCATGTACAAGTTTCTTGGGGACATATGATTTCATTTCTCCAGGGTCTATACCTAGGAATAAAATTGCTGAATTGGGCCGGTCCCGTGGCTTAGCGGTTAAGTGCATGCGCTCCACTACTGGCGGCCCAGGTTCAGATCCCCGGGCGTGCACTGACGCACTGCTTCTCCGGCCATGCTGAGGCCGCGTCCCACATACAGCAACTAGAAGGATGTGCAACTATGACATACAACTATCTACTGGGGCTTTGGGGAAAAAAATAAATAAATAAAATAAAAAAAAATTGCTGAATTGTATGGTAATTTTACATTTAACTTTTTGAGGAACTGCCAGACTGTTTTCCACAGCACCATTTTACATTCCTACTAGTAATGTACAAAGGTTCCAGTTTCTCCACATTCTTACCAACATTTATTTTCTGAGTTTTGGATTATAGTTATCCTGGTGGGTATGAAGCAGTAGTTCATTGTAGGTATTTTTTTTTCCCTTGGTGAGGAAGATTGGCCCTGAGCCAACATCTGTTGCCAGTCTTCCTCTTTTTGCTGGAGGAAGACTGTCCCTGAGCTAACATCTGTGCCCATCTTACTCTATTTTGTATGTGGGACGCCGCCACAGCATGGCTTGATGAGCAATGTGTAGGTCCGCGCCCGGGGTCCGAACCCACAAACCCTGGGCCATCGAGCGCGTGAACTTAACCACTACTCCATCAGGCCGGCCCAGTTCATTGTAGTTTTGATTTGCATTTCCTTGATGGTTAATGATGTTGAACATCTGTTCATGTGCTTGTTGGCCATTTGTATATCTTCTTTGGGGAAATGTCTGTTCAAATCCTTTGCCCATTTTTAAATTAGGTTTTGTCTTTTTATTTTTGAGTTGTAAAAGTTGTTTATATATTATGAACACTAGACTCTTATCAGATGTATGATCTACAGATATTTTCTCCCATTCTCTAGGCTGTCTTTTAACTTTCTTGATAGCGTCCTTTGATGCACAAACGGTTTTAATTTTGATGAAGTCCAATTTATCTATTTTTTTAATTTGTTGCTTGTCTTTTGGTGTTGTATTTAAGAATCCTGTGCCAAATTCAAAGTCATGAAGATTTACCTCCTGTGTTTTCTACTTAGAGTTTTATAGTTTTAGCTCTTATTTTTAGATCTTTGACTCATTTTGAGTTGATGTTTGTATATGGGTATCTAGTTTTCCCAGCACCATTTGTTAAAAAGACTTTTCTTTCATGGAATAGTCTTGACATTCTTGTCAAAAATCAATTGTAAGTGTCCATTGATGGATGAGTGGATAAAATGTATAAAACAAAATAATTTTATACACAAACACAATGGAATATTATTAAGATATAAAAAAAAAAAGGAAATCCTGCCTTTTGTGACAACATGGATGGACCTTGAGGGCATTATGCTAAGTGAGATAAGTCAGAGAAAGGTAGATACTGTATGATCTCACTTATATGTGGAATCTAAAAAAAAAAAGCCACACTCATAGAAACAGAGAGTAGAGTGGTGGTTGCCAGGGGCTAGGGGGTGGAGGAAATGGGGAGATGTAGGTCAAAGGGACAAACTTTCAGTTAGAAGATAAATGACTTTTGGGGATCTGATGTACAGCATGGTGACTATAACTAACAATACTGTATTATGTACTTGAAAGTTGCTGAGAGAGTCGATCTTAATGTCCTAACCACAAAAAAATTGTAATCATGTGAGGTGACGGATGTATTAACTAATCTTATTGTGGTAATCATTTTGCAATATATACATGTATCAGTTCATCACATTGTACATCTTAAACTTACACTGCGTTATATGTCAGTTACGTCTCAATAAAGCTAAGGAGAAAAATCAGCTGCCCATAAATGTTTGGGTTTATTTCTAGACTCTCAATTCTAATCCATTGAGCTGTGTCTCTGTCTTTATGCCAGTTCTGTGTTGTTTTGATTCATATAGCTTTGTAATAAGTTTAGCAATAGGGAAGTGTGAGTCTTCCAACTTTGTTCTTCTTTTTCAAGATTGTTTTGGCTATTTGGGCTCCTTTCTATTTCCATATGAATTTTAGGATCAATTCATTTCTGCAAAAAAAAGCAGTTTGGATTCTGATAGCGATTGCATTGCATCTGGAGATTGCTTTGGGTGCAATTGCCGTCTTAACAGTATTAAGTCTTCCAGTCCATGAACATGGGATGTCTTTCCATTTGTTTATGTTTTCTTTAGTTTCTTTAGCAGTGTTTTGTAGTTTTTGGTGTGCAAGTCTTTCACCTCCTTGGTTAAATTTATTCCTAGGTATTTGATTCTTTTTGATGCTTGCATAAATGGAGTTGTTTTCTTTATTTCTTCTTCCGATTGTTCATTGCTGGTGTGTAGAAACACAAGTGATTTTTGTGTGTCGGTCTTGCCTCTTGCAACTTTGGTGAATTCATGCATTAACTTTAGTGGTTTTTTTGTGGAGTATTTTCTATATGTAGGATCATGTCATTTGCTAATAGAGATAGTTTTACTTCTTCCTATCCATTCGGGCTGCCTTTCCTTTCCTTTTCTTCCTAATTGTCCTGGCTAGCACATCCAGTGCAGTGTTGAATAGCAGTGGTGAAAGTGGACATCCTTGTCGTGTTCCTGATCTCAGGGGGAGTTTTCAGTCTTTCATTAAGTATGTTGTGAGCTGTGGGTTTTTCCTAATTGCCCTTTATCAGGTTGAGGAAGTTCCCTTCTGTTCCTGGTTTCTTGAGTCTTTTTATCATGAGATGTTTATCAAAGCCTTTTTAAAGGGTTTGGTTTACTTTTTAATATAGAAACTTTTGTGTACGTGTGTTTTATTTGACCAGTGCTGATTCCTAAAGAAAAGCCCCCAATCACAGTTGTTGGCGATGTGGGAGGAAGGATCGCCATCATTGTGGTATGTAGACCTCTTTTATTATTATTAGTTGTCATCTATACCATTGTTATTCTGTCGACTTATTTGTTAATTATGTGGGGATAGTGGTATGGCCAGGTAAGTCTCATTTAAATTGGTGCCTTGTGCTAAATTTTTACTTTAGTCCAAAAATTGAAAATTATCATTAGTTTATTAACAAATTGTAACTAATTAGTTAACTAAATAATGTGTAACTGTTTGTCATAACATGGGAAATTGTTTTATGATCAAAGTAGGGTACAGAATTGATTATAACTGTTTAAACACACATCCTCTCACACTTCACAAAACCGGTGCACAAAAGGAGTCCCTTTAGTGCCACGTATTTTAAAGAGGAGTCAGATGAACATGTGGGGACTCACTGCTCAGCTTGGCACAGAATGTTGAGGAGCAGCCTCGAGACCACCTCGGGGCTTTTCCCTGGTCTCCCTTCTCTCCCCCCGAGGCTGTCACTAGCCTGAAGGTCGTCATTCATGCCCTTGCCTGTCATTACAGTCTGCCATGAGTGCATGTGTCCCTAAACACTATATTGTTTTGTTTTACTCGTTTTTGATGTTTATGTAATAAAGTCTTTGTGTACTTGGTGACTTTTTGTTCCACACTGTTTTGAGGTTTCTCCAGGTAGTAACATGTAGTTGTATGTTTTCACTGCTGTATGGTGTTCCATGGTATAACTGTTACACAACTTTTGTGTATCTGTTCTCCAGGCATTGAACATACAGGTTTTTTTAATTTCCAAATAATACTGCTTGGAACATTCTTGCACCTATTTTCTGGTGCATCCATGGAGGACTTGCTAGGTGCCTGGGAGTGGAGTTGTGGGTCTGAAGGCATGCCCGTTTCCAACATTACTAGGTGGTGCCAAATTGCTCCCAAAGCGGTTGCACTGGTTTTCAAGCTTCCCTGCTGGGGACCACACACTCTCCCCAGGGCTTGTAATTTTGTTTGCCCCTTTTTCAAGTTAGGAAATCTCTGATGCCATCCTACAAGGTAATAGCTGTCCACTAATTTGTTCCTTAACTAGCAAAATCTGTAGTGACAAGATGCTATAATTCATTCGCATTTTTTCCCCTTTCTACTGCATCTGCATTTAAAGGAAAGAAAACCTTTTTATGTTGAAGTCATTATAGATTCATAGGAAGTAGCCAAGAAAAAAAAAAGTACAAGGAGGTCTTGTGTACTCTTTACCTACCTTCCTCCTCCTTGCTTAACCGTGGTGCCATAACATAATCCAGAAATTCATTGCCATGATCCACGAGCTGCTTCAGACAGCACCAGTGTTGTGTCTGGTGTAGGTCTATGCAGTCTTACCACGTGTGTGGCTTTGTGTAACCACCACTGCAGTCAGGAGACGGAACTAGTCCATTGCCACAAAGCTCCCTCGTGCTACCCTTTGTAGCCACCCCATCTCCTCCCTACCTGGTCCCTGACTCGTGGCAGTCACTGATCTGTCCCCTGTCTCTATAATCGTGATTTCAGGAAAGTAATACAAGTGGAATATGTAGTATGTCACCTTTGAGATTGGTTTTTTCACTTAGCACGATTCCCTGGAGAGCCCTGCAGATTGTCATGTATATTATAGTTCATCCTTTTATTGCTGAGCAGTGGTCCATGTATGTAGGTGCCACAGTTTAACCACTCACCTGTTGAAAGACATTTGGATTGTTTCCAATTTTCTGCTATTAGAAATAACATTGCTATTATGCACATTTGTGTCTGGGTTTTTGTGTGAACAGAGTTTTAATTTTTATGGGATAAATGACCAAAAGTGCAATTGTTGGGTTGCGTGGTAATTGCAAGTTTAGTTTTATAGGAACCTGTCAAACTATTTTTCAGAGTGGCTGTGCCATTTTACCAGTAGCACTTTTAAAGTAATATATATGTATTTTTTTCTTTGATCATAGTAATATCAGTATACATTTGAAAAGAATAATATATGTGTATAAAATGAATACATAAATATTTATTTAACTCTAAACAATGCTTGATACCCCAGTGGGTTTAAAATGACCTTGGTGGGCTGCGTGTGATGGCAAGACTCAGGTTCCTGCCTCTGAGTCTCTGCCTCTGAGTCTCCTTTACTCTCACACAGACACTGCACTGCTGGTCGCCAGATGGGTGGAGTTTTCCTCACACCAAGCAATTCTCTGTGACACTAGCTGATGTCCTACAATTTAACTCAATTCTGACACGACCTACCCAGAGATGGTGTTGGATCCCACAGGCTAAGGGCTCCGTCTCACAAGACCACCCCACTTCAGATGCCAGTCACAAGTAGTAGGCCTCCAGGTCCCCCACAACTTCTCTACAATTTAGCTGCAAGTCAGGGGTTCCCGCGCCCCCCTCCTCGGGTTTGATTAATTTGCTAGAGCGGCTCACAGAACTCAGGGAAACACGTTTATCAGCTTATTAAAGGAGATGATAAAGGATACGGATGAACAGCCAGATGAAGAGATACACAGGGTGAGGTCTGGGAGGGTCCCGAGTGCAGGAGTTTCTGTCCCCGTGGAGCTGGGGTGTACCACCCTCCTGGTGTGGATGTGCTCACCCACCTGGAAGCTCTCCGAACCCCCTGTTATTGGGGTTTATGGAGGCTTCCTTATGTGGGCATGATCAATCATTAATTCCGTTTCCAACTCCTCTCCCCTCTCTGGAGGATGGGGCCGTGGGGCTAACAATTCTAAGCTTCTCATCATGGCTTGGTCTTTCTGGTGACCAGCCCCCATCCAGAAACCATCCAGGAGTCCCCCCAGAGTCACCTCAGAACCAAAGATGCTCCTAGTATTCTTTGTTTTTTTTAAAGATTTTATTTATTTATTTTTTCCCCCCAAAGCCCCAGTAGATAATTGTATGTCATAGCTGCACATCCTTCTAGTTGCTGTATGTGGGACTCGGCCTCAGGATGGACGGAGAAGTGGTGCCTCAGTGTGCGCCCGGGATCCGAACCCGGGCCACCAGCATCAGAGCGCGCGCACTTAACCACCAAGCCACGGGGCCGGCCCTGCTCCTAGTATTCTTATCACTTAGGAAATTCCAAGGGTTTAGGAGCTCAGTGCCAGGGGCTAGGGGCAGACACTAATATATATATTTTTCTCTTATCTCACACTGGGAATCTGTGATCCATAGATTAGAAACCACTGGACTGGGCATTTTGTTAAAAATAATATTATTGTTTTTCCCATTATGAATACATATGTAAAAAGCATATTTCCCATATGTCCAGTAGAAAAAATTTTGAAAATAAGGAAGAGTAACAAGAAAAGAGGAAAGAACTGCCCAGAATCAAAAGCATCTTCTAACAGTTTTACTATGAATTAAAAAAAAAAACATTCAGCGAACATCTCTGGAGCCCCTGCGTGGTGAGGGCACGGCTCTGAACAGTAGGGTATAGAGATGGAGACCCCAGGGGGCCCTGAGTGTGGTGGATAGACAGCCTGTACATGGCAGGTGCCGTGCAGGAGGAGGCCTGCTGGGAGAGGCCTGGAGGGAGTGCGGCGGGAGCACGGTGACAGGCCCCATGACCAGGCCGTCGGGACAGATTAAAATGGGACAGCAAGTTTGTCATAGTAGAATTAGACCCTCTCTCTTTCCTAGTTGTCTAAACCCACCTTTGCAAAAGTGTTCATGTACCTTTTGCTCAATCTGTAACTTGACAGGATGACATTATCGATGATGTTGACAGCTTTCTTGCTGCGGCAGAGACCCTGAAGGAAAGAGGTGCATATAAGATCTTCGTGATGGCGACTCATGGCTTATTATCTTCAGATGCTCCCCGACTGATTGAAGAATCTGCCATTGACGAGGTAACAGAGCCAGGCGAGTGCGGGTGCACCTGCTCTGCCTCTTCGGCGCCTCCTGATCTGTGGTTACAGAGAATAGGTAGAAGAATGAGCTGTTTTCTAGTGAAAAATGAACTGAAAACATGGGTTATGTTTGCGTTTCGTTGAGTGTAAGCCTCTGTCTTTTGCCCCTGGTGCTGGTGACTAGTTTTAGTAACTCTCATCAATGGAGCACACCGTCTCTGCCGGCCCCGCCCGGGGCTCCAGCACGGCCCGCAGGGTCCGTGTCAGTGCCCCTTTTAGAGACGAGAAGTTGTGCACCAGAAAAGTTGAGTGACTTCTTAAGATCAGACAGCTACTAGGCTGAGCATTTGGGTTCAGACCTTAGTTTGCCTGATGCCAAAGCCCAGCTCTCTCCCTGGTACAGACACTCGTGGAACGAAATTGGGAGAGGAAGGCAAACAGGGCAGTTTTCCTAAGCTGCCTACAGTTCCCAGTGTGGCTGAGCGAGGCTGTCCAGGGTTACTCACCGTGCTTTGTCCAGCCCCCTCTTTCCACAGGCCAGCTAGGCAGCTGGGGGTTTGATTGTATAAACCACATTTTTATTATCTCTTAAGAAGTGGAAGTGCTGTCCCCTGTATATTCCTGGGTGTTGAATCTTAGATTAGTCCAACTGCTTTTACTTTTCCGAGTCCCGCGTTTTTACTCTTCAGTGGTAGACATCCTTGAGCCTGGCCCCGTGTTGATCAGCTTTGATGGGTTCAAGATGTCTTGGCCCAGGCAGAAAGCCAGACCTGTGTGCTGAGGTCAATCCAGCCTCCTCACTGAGCTGGTCATAAACGTACTGAGAACCAGGAATAACGTTAAAAGCATTCAAAGAGGCAGAAGTGACGACGTAGAGCTCACGTATTAAGTAAAGCAAGAAGACTTCAGGCCCAAGGTGGCTCTCACCAGTCTGTCCACGTGGCACTAGGCGGGCTTCTCGAGGGTGCTGTGTGTGGGCAGGTTAGAAAGAGCACACCAGGGGCTGGCCCCGTGGCGCAGCGGTTAAGTGCGCGCGCTCCGCTGCTGGCGGCCCGGGTTCAGATCCTGGGCGTGCACCCACGCACCGCTTGTCAGGCCATGCTGTGGTGGCGTCCCATATAAAGTGGAGGAAGATGGGCACGGATGTTAGCTCAGGGCCAGTCTTCCTCAGCAAAAAGAGGAGGATTGGCATGGATGTTAGCTCAGGGCTGATCTTCCTCACAAAAAAAAAAAAAAAGAAAGAGCACACCAGAGGCAGGTGGCAGAGACTGCTGGAGCCAGGCCTCTTAGAGCAGAGTGGGCTTTGGAGAGCAGCGTGAGTCCAGCCGCAGGAGCTCCTGAGTAGAGGCTGCCCGGTGGATGCCTTGCGTCAGCTCTGTCACTGATACTCATCACGGGGAGTTGGGTGAGTAACTAAGGGCTGAATCGGGTTCCTGGGTTCACTCTGCTTAGTAAGCTAAGGATTTTCATATAAACTTAAAGTGTAGTCACACAACAGATTATAAAGTTATAAACGATGTCAAAGTCATGGCAGAATCGACAGTTAGGAGGTGGAAGGTGGGAGAAGTGGAGAGAGGCTGATTTCTTGTCTTTCAGAGTAGGAGCCAGTAGATAGTGTTTGGGGTTGATAAATCAAGATTTGAAGTGTTTTTCTTTTTTCTTTTTTTTTTTTTTTTAATTAAAGCTAGTTAAATGAAATGTGGAGAATAGACATCTGTAGAGACAGTAGACTCGTGGTTGCCAGGGGTTTGGGGAAGGGTGACATGAGGAGTGACAGCCTAAGTGGTGTAGGGTTTCTTTTTGGGGAGATATTCAACACAACTCTGAATATTCTAAAAACCATTGAATTGTACACATTCAATAGTTGAATTGTATGGTATATGAATTATATCTCAGTAATGCTGTTATTTTTAAAAAGTGGTTAGAATAAATTTTCCAAATTTATTCCCCAGTGAGAGTGGTTATTTAGTGAGTAAAGCTGACCCCCGAGGTCCCCATGTGGTGCATTCAGGAGGCGCTGGGCATGGAGTGCAGGGTGACCCCGGATGGGGCCGCCCAGGGTCACCCTTCACATTGATTCTGTGTGAATGGCGCAAAATTCTGTCTGATACCAGTGGGAAGGTATTTTTTGGGAACTGTTCTTTTACAGGTCATGAGACTCATATAACCCTTCATGTTTCCGTTTTGCTGTAATGTTACCAGGAAGATCAGATACCAGATGATGAGCACAGTTTTACGTTAGGTAGGTTTCCGTGGCCCTGGCACTGGTTCTGAATGATTCCTGATCGTCCATCTCTGTTTCAGCATCTCAGTGTGCGTGTGCCTCTTTCTTATAAGCTGTCTTGGGGCTTATTTTAGAAGTAGGGAGTATATGTTATAAATAATAATAAAAAAATTATTCCCAATCCGTGTTTTTTTAAGAAGCCTGAGTATTTTTATTTTCCCCATTTGTAACTGTTGAAAAGTGCTTGTTTTCTCCTTTTTTGATTTTCATCAAATCTCAACATCCTAAAATAACAGCTTTGAGATATAATTCACATACCATACAATTCACCCATTTAAAATATATACTTCAGTGGTTTTTAGTATATTCACAGAGTTGTGCAACCATCACCACAATCACTTTTAGAACATTTTTATCCCCCCAAAAGAAACCTTCTACCTTTTAGCAGTTACTCCCCATTTCTTCTCAATCCACTCAGCCCCTGGCAACCACTAATCTGCCTTCTGTCTCTATAGATCTACCTAATCTGGGCATTTCATATCAATAGAATCAGACAATATTGATCTTTTATGTCTGGCCTCTTTCCCTTAGCATATGGTGTTCCTGGTTCATCCATGTTGTGGCGTGCATCAGTACTTCATTCCGTTTTATTGCTGAATATTTCATTGTATGGCTAGACACCACACTTTATATCTCCATTTGTAAGATGATGGAAATCTGGATTGCTTCTACGTTTTGACTATTGTGATAATGCTGTTATGAACATTTGTGTACAAGCTTTGGTATGGACATACGTTTTCATTTCTCAGGTATATACCTAGGAGTAGAATTGCTGGGTCATATGGTAACCCTATGTTTAAACTTGAGGAACTGCCAGACTGTTTTCCAGAGCAGCTGTGCCATTTTACATTCCCACCAGCAGTGCACGAGGGTTCCAGTTTCTCCACATCCTCGCCAACACTTGTTATTACCTGTCTTTTTGCCTATAGCTGTCCTAATGGGTGTAGGGTTATCAAATCTTAACCTACGAAACCCGGCTAGCATTCACATGGACTGAAAGCATTGTTGCAGGTACAGTAGACCCGCTGTCCTCCTCAGAGATTTGAGAATATGTCAGATTGTCACATCAAGCCAGGAAGCTACTTGGTTTTATGATGCTTTTGGTGGTTTTGTCTTGTTTCGTAGGTGGTGGTTACCAATACAATTCCACATGAAATCCAGAAGCTCCAGTGCCCCAAAATTAAGACTGTGGATATCAGCATGATCCTTTCAGAAGCCATCCGTCGGATTCACAACGGGGAGTCCATGTCCTACCTTTTCAGAAACATCGGCTTAGATGACTGAGCAGCTTTCCTTTCCTAAAACTCCGAGGGCCAAACTAGAAACGTAAGAGTGAGTGCTGGGAGGGTTCTACCTGAGCGGGTGTGTTTCCAGGGGCCGTGTGTGTTTTGCTCCTTTTTTCTTGTTAATTCCTATGGAGATAGACCAACTTTTTGTGTCGATTTGGGTGTTTGTGAGTTTGTTGGGCAATTTTTATAAAAGAAAAACTATATTCTCCTCTTAAAATAAGTTAAGACCTGGTTGTTTTTAGTTTATTTAACATATAACTTAGAATAAGATTTTTAAGCTCACAAACAGCCTTTTTCCAAAGTTGCTGGAGCCCAAGTGCTTAAAAAATTAAACAATAAAACAATCTGTATTATAGGTGCAGTTGAAAAGCCAAAAAGATTCTGCTGTAGAATCCAGTGTGTGACATTGTTAGAAATGCTTTTATAGACAAGCATGTGGAGTATGTGACCTTATTTATTTTCTGTAACAAAAGAAGGAATAAAAACGTCCTGTGTTTGTGTGTTTTTTTAAAACTTGGTGTTGGGCATTTGTTTTATAACTAAAGTAAAATGAAAGCTGAATATACGTGCTCTGGATGTGGAAATGGTTATCAGCTTGTTAAGTTTTCTCTTGTGCAGCTTTTCGGGAGGGTCCAGTCACCTCTTCGGGATGTGAATCCCCTGTTCTGTCTGTCCAGGACCCTGCACGTTCCTGATGTGTGGTTGTTTGCGGTAGGGGCGTTTGAATCCCAGGCTGTGAGCTGTGGGGGCAGGCCAGCGAGTTGGCGGGAGCTGCTGCCTGAACCTTGGCGCAACTTTGTTCTGCTCCCTGTTCCTCAGCACAGCCACTCTTGAAACAAGATGCGCTACTGCCTGCTCTGGGGAATAAGATGCTGGAGGGGGGCACAAAGGGCAAGTGATGTGACCCTAGTCCATGTCAGGCATCTAAAGTATAGTCCGTCTTAGAGTTCAGAGTTCAGAACTCCAAACTTGTACCTTAGAGTTTATCAGACTGGAACACTGGGGTCCTATGAGTTATTCCAATGTGTCTTTCCTCTCAGGTCACCTGGTGGCAGTCCCATCCAATTCATGGAGGAAAAAATTAAGACTTTCTCAGACAGAAAAAAATTACTTTTTCTTCCAAAAACCTAAACCCTTTACTTTCTGCCTGTCTGTTAGAATTGGGAATAAAATAGCAGCTGACTTAGCACAGATTAAGATTCGTCACTTGCTGTTTGTCATGTCAGGGTTTCCTGGCACTCCCCTGAGAGCAGCTTGGAAGCCTGCCCAGAGCAGGCTGGGGGCCCGCACGTGCAGAAGCACTGAGAGCTCCACTTCCAGTGGCTGCCCTGGGTACTAGCTGGCCTCCTGCACGTCCCCTCTGCACTCACCGCGCCCAGCAGTGCCCAGTCCCCCTCCAGGCCCCACCACAGTTTACTTCTGAGGAAACCGAGTTTCAGAGAAAAGCACGCCCCCAACCAGGTGTTCTAATCCAGTTAACGACAGAGCCGTCTACTTTGAAAACGTGCCCTTGCTTTTTGAAAACCTGTTCCTAGAAGTGGGAATGTAAGATCTTTACAAGCGGGTTTAGGAAATATTACGCTGACAGCTGCTTTGGCCAGAGCAGCTCTGGTCAGCAGCAGATTGTCATCCTCCACCAGTTGCCACATTTGGAAAAAGAGCCTTGGGGACAGGTGTCACCTGAGAGGAGCCAGCCTTTGCCCATCAGGACCCTCACATTAATTCTCCGAAATGGGCTGAAGAAGCCTCACAGCGAGTCTCATATCTCCAGACTTTGCTGTGTTTGAATTTTTGCCATCTTTGGCCCTTTTGATACTGTCTCATCACTGAGCTCATTCAGTACGAAGTTTCCTCTTAGTGGCTGTGTCCAGTGAGGTTTCATCTGCATGGTTTTTCTTAATGTGTTATCCTTCATGAAGAAAAACCAAATTTACAGAAGAGAAGTAAATGAAAAAAATGTGTAATGGGAGTGTTTTCCTCTGGGTAATGAACTTGTGGTAAAGCTAGGACTCTTCAAATCCACAAGACTGGGAGGAAATCTCTGTGCTAGATCTGGAGGGATGTGAGGATGAACACCTGAAAGAACCCACTACCTGCTGGGGGTTGAGACCCAGGCACCTGGTGGCCGTAGAGCTTAGCAGAGAGTTGAGGGGCATGGAGAAGGAGTAGCTGTTCCATGTGAGGATCAGGAAAGATAGTAGGCGGAGAGTAAGGAGAAGAAACAGCACAAGCAAAGGCTCTGAGGTGTGACGATGCAGACGTGTGGAGTGTCACATCAGAGCCCGATGTGGCTGAAGCTGGAGAAGGGGGTGCAGGATAGAGACCCTTGAGGGGCAAATATAGGAAGTTAGGCTCTGCTGTGTGGTGGGAGCACTGTGAGGTTCTGAGGGCCAAAGAACACAGAAAAGGAGGTCTCCCTTCCACCCAAGCCCCTCACCACCCACTTCCTCTTCCAGAGAAAACCATGGTTACCAGGTTTTTGTGTGTGGCAGGCTTTTCCTCAGCCAGAGAAGTCCTGTTGACCCTCCAAACTACTGTCTCCACTTAGCCAGAAATGGGGAGTTGAACCTAGAAATTCTTTAACAGCAAAAAAGCTAATAGTTTCCGATTTTGGTTATTGTGATGTCATCACTCTGGACAGACAAATGTGGGTTGGAAATGCTTTCAAGGGGGCATCAAGAACACGGGACGATGTTACTGAGGGGCATGAATGAATGAATGCATGCATAACAAACCACCACTTCAGCCACTACTGTGTGCCAGGATTAATTTGGTCCTCATAATTTGTGTGTTACCTCCAAGGCTCCACCTTGAAGTGATGACTAATCAAGCTAGGATTCAGAAGGAAGCTTCCTGCTTCTGAGCCCATGCTCTTTCCAGTTGTTTCAAATGTATTCTGACTAACGGCTCCCTCCTTTGACGTGGGTTATATGGCAGAGCTGGAAGGACATCTAGGCATTCCTTGAAGGCCTTGGCTTGGCTCACTTGTGAGCCTTGATCTGAATCTGAACACTGTTGAGTGGCAACCTGCCTGCCAAGTCTTTGGGTGGTAATATTTGTGCCTAAAAGTTTCAGGTTGGCTACCTACTACAAAAACAACATTAGTTGTTCTAGAAAGAGAAGAGAGAAAGAGACAGAATATTTGAGTAAATAATGGCTGAAAACTTCACACATTTGATGAAAGACATGAATGTAAACATCCAAGAAGCTCAGTAAACTGTAAGTAAGATGAACTCAAGGAGACCCACACCAAGACACATGATAATCAAACTGTCAAAAGCCAGACAGAGAGAATCTTGAAAGCAGCAAGAGAAAAGTAACTTGCCACATACAAGGGATCCTCGATAAGATTATCAGTAGATTTTTCATCAGAAACTTTGGAGGCCAGAAGGCAGTGGACTGAAACATTCAAAGTGGTAAAAGAAAAAAATGGTCAACCAAGAATCCTATATCTGGCAACACTGTTCTTCAAAGGTGAGGGAGAAATTAAGACATTCCCATATAAACAAAAGCTGAGGGAGTTCATTACCACTAGACCTGCCCTGCAAGAAATGCTCAAGTGAGTTTTGCAGGATGAAATAAAGGGATACTAGATGGTAACTCAAGGGTGTACGAAGAAATAAAGATCTCAATAAAAGTAAATACGTGGGTAATTATAAAAGCTACTATCACTAACAATGGTTTCTAACTCCACTTTTTGTTTTCTACATGATGTAAGAGACATTTTTTTAAAGAAAAAACAGTTATTAGTCTAAAAGCTAGTATTATTATAACATTGGTCTGTAACTCTACTGTTTCTTCTCTGCATAATTTAAGAGCCTAATGCATTTAAAAGAATTAGTAGTTTATGATTTTGGGAGCACAGTGTATAAATATTTAATTTTGTGATAACAACTCAAAGGGGTGGAGACGGCTCTGTTAAAGAAGCAGACTTTTTGTATGTTATTGAAGTTAAGCTGGTGTAAATTCAAATTAGAGTGTTATAACCTTAGGATGTTGAATATAATCCCGATGGTAAATACAAAGAAAATAGCTGTAGAATATATGCCAAAGGAAGTAGGAAGTGAGTTTAAAGATTTCACTACAAAAAATCAACTGAGCACAAAAGAAGACAGTAATGCAGGAAATGAGGAACAAAAAAGCTATATGGCATATAGAAAAACTGATAGCACAATGACAGAAGTCCTTCCTTATCAATAATTACTTTAAATGTAAATGGATTAAACTTTCCAATTACAAGACAGAGATTGGCAGAATGGATTAAAACACACACAATTCAACTATATACTGTCTACAAAAGACTCATTTTAGATCCAAAGACACAGATTGAAAGTGAAGGGATGGAACAAGATATTCCATGCAAATAGCAACCAAAAGAGAGCAGGGGTGGCTAAAATAATATCAGAAAAAATGGACTTTAAAACAGAAATTGCCATAAGAGACAACAAAGGACATCATATGTTAATAAGTTCAACACAACAAGAAGACGTAACAGTTATGAATATTTACATGTCTAATAACAGACCATTAAAATATATGAAGCAAAACCAGACAGAATTAAAGGGAGAAATAGATAGTTCTACAATAACAATGGGATATTTCAACACCCCACGTGTGGCAATTAACCAATACACTCTTAGCCAATTAATCAAAGAAAAAAATCACAAGGGAAATAGGAAGATACTTAGAGATGAATAAAAATGAAAATGCAACATACCAAAACTTATGGGACACAGTGAATGCAGTGCTAAGGGGGAAATTTATACCTATAAACTCTTACATGTAAAAAAAAAAATCTCAAATCAACAACCTAACTTTACAACTTAAGGAACTAGAAAAAACAAACTAAACCCAAAGCCAGCAGAAGGAAGGAAATAATGATTAGAGCAGAGATATAAAAAATAGACAAGCAATAGAGAAACTCAATGAAACCAAAAGTTGGTTCTTTGAAAAGATCAACAAAATTGACAAACCTTTAGCTAAGGACTAAGAAAAAAAGAGAGAAGGCTCAAATTACTGAAATCATAAAAGAAAGTGGGGACGTTAATACTGATTCTAAATAAATAAAAAGAATTATCAGAGTACTGCAAATAATTGTATGCCAACAAATTGGGTAACCTAGACAAAAGGGACAAATTCCTAGAAACACAAAACCTACCAAGACTAAATCACGAAGAAATAGAAAATCTGAGTAGACCTATAACTAGCAAGGAGATTGAATCAGTAATCAAACATCTCCCAACAAAGAAAAGCCCAGGACCTGATTCCCTTCACTGGTGAATTCCATCACACATTTAAAGAAGAAAAACTAACGACAATCCTTGTCATACTTTTCAAAAAAAGGGAAGAGGAAGGAACACTCTCAAACTCATTCTGTGAGGCCAGCATTACCCTGATACCAAAGACAAAGACACTAAAAGAAAATAAAATTACAGATCAATATCCCTTCTGAATATTGATGCGGACATCATCAACAAAATACTAGAAAAACAAATTCAGCAGCATATTAAAAGGATTGTATGCTATAACCAAGTGAGATTTATGCCTGGAATGCAAGATGGTTC